CTACTTGTGACGGTAACGTCTATTGTGTGACCATCACATCTACTGTGTGACTATGATGTCTATTGCGTGACTATGACGTATATTGTGTAGCTATGCCGTCTACTGATAACGGTAACGTCAACTGTGTTACTATGGCCACTATTGTATGACTATGACCTCTACTGGGTGACTATGACGTCTACTGTGTGACTATATCCTTTACTATATGACGATAACGTCTTTTGTATGACTATGTCTACTGTGTGACAATGATCTCTACTGCGTTTCTATGACGTCTATTGTGTGACTATGACGTCTACTGTGGGACTATGACATCTACAGTCTGACCATGTGTACCGCGTTACTATGACGTCTATTGTGTAACTTTAACGTCTACTGTGTGACTTTGATGTCTACTGTGACTATGACGTCTACTATTTATCTATGTCTACTGTGTGACTATGACGTCTATTGTGTGTGTTACGTCTATTGTCTGACTTTGACATCTACTGTGTGACTATAGTGTCTCCTGCTTGACTATGACTACTGTTTGACCATGACGTCTACTGTGAGTATGACGTCTCGTTTCACTATGACGCTGTGTCACAATGACGTCTACTGTGTGACTATAACTACTGTGTGACTATGACATCTATTGTGTGACACTGTCTACTGTGTGACTATGACGTCAACTGTGTGACGGTAATGTCTGCTCTGTGACGGTAACGTCTACTGTGTGACTATAATGTCTACTGACTATGACGCCTACTATGTGATTATGACATCAACTGTGTGACCGTAACGTCTAGTGTGTGACTATAATGTCTACTGTGTGACGGTAACGTCTACTGTGTGACTATGTCTACTGTGTGACTATGACACCTACTGTGTGATTATAACGTCTACTGTGTGACTTTGACGTCTACTGTGTGACTATGACATCAACTGTGTGACGGTAACGTCTACTGTGTGACTATAATGTCTACTGTGTGACTATGACGCCTACGTTGTGATCATAACGTCTACTGTGTGACTTTGACGTCTACTGTGCGACTATGCCTACTGTGGGACTATGACGTCTACTGTGTGACTATGTCTACTGTGTGACTATGTCGACTGAGTGACGGTAACGTCTACTGTGCGATTACGACCTCTACTGTCTGACTTTGACGTCTTCTGTGTGACTATGCTGTCTACTGTTTGATTATGTCTATTGTGTGACTATAACTATTGTGTGACTATGACGTCTATTGTGTGACACTGTCTACCGTGTGACTATAACTATTGTGTGACTATGACGTCTATTGTGTGACACTGACTACTGTGTGACCATGACGTCTACTGTGACTATGACGTCTACTGTTTCGATATGACGCAAACTGTGTCACAATGACGTCTACTGTGTGACTATAACATCTACTGTGTGACTATAATGTCTACTGTGTGACGGTAACGCCTACTGTGTGACAATGTCGTCTATCGTGTGACTATGACGTTTACTCGTGACGGTAACTTCGTTGGGCGGCGCGGCGTAGGAGGGCGTGCAACCACGCCTACAGTCGCACCTCCACGGTTCAATGCTGACAGCTCAATACGCGGAATAACTGGATAAAAAAGATTGTGATTAGGACTTGAATTCTGTCCTGAAATGAGGTAATTATCTAATACTGTTTGCGAGCGATGCAAGGATATTTACAACTTCCTGTTCAACAAAGCGAGTGCATAGCGAGGTGAAAGTTGGTCGCTAGAGGGAGCTGACGGTGCTATAGTTTCTCTACAATACCTGGACACGACTCGTCACAAAGGCAGCTTAATGTCTTTATTCACAGGTAGAATCACAGTTCCTTTTCATTTTACCTTAATTATCTGGTTCACGGTTTCATTGAAATCCGGGCATGGTAAAATTCTAAGGTGATTTCGACACGTGATTCTGTAACGTCCCCGCGTGGCCGCCATATGCTGCAGGCGGCGTGACTCGCCCGACATATTTCCAAATAGCGTCACATAGCCTTTTGCACGTGTACTTTGTAGAGGGCTCGTGATGTGCACGTGCATGTAACGCGCCTGGATGTGGAGCGTATGTCGACACGGGAGTTATCCGGAACACAAGCGCACATGCACTGCGTCTGTCCCCCTCCTGGATTGCCCTGTGTCCGAGGTGCCTCATTGATCTAGTGGTAGGGCGTTCACCCGGAGAGCGGGAGGTCGGGAGTTCGATCCCCGTCTGTGTCATACCGAAAGACGTTAAAAGATGATAGTTGTTGTTACCCTGTCTGGCGCTCGCCATTAAGGGGCTAAAACAAGGACTGGTCAGCTCGGAGTCAATATACTGTGTCTGAGAGGGTTAAACTGCGGAATGGTATCTCAGTGGGCAAGCACTATAAACTCGGTAATTAGTCTGGACTAGCACAAGCAGCCACACAAACACACGTGCATGCATGTCGCTACATAAGTGCAATAATCTTGAAAGCGACGTTAAACCCCATTTCACCTCACACAACCAATGTCCTGTCCTCTCCCTGTGAGGTAGTTTATAGCTCTCTGTGAGGTAGGTTGTAGTCTTAAGGTGACCGTTTGTCAGCTGATCGTCATTCGGATAATCTCGGGTTTGCCTACGAACAGAACCAGCCTATTGTCATCTTCGCCGGAAAAAAATGTACAAATATTTTTCAAAGGAAGCATTTCTTGAAGCACCGGTATAGCGTGCCCTTAGATACGATTATGATGTTTGTCCGAACCTTAAGGTGGCGTTTTGCGTTTCACTTATGGGTATCATGTTATTTAATTTGAAATAATAATTAAATGGGCGTCAGTGTGGGTAACGGCGAGCCGTGCTCAGTCATCGGCCGCGGGGGGAAGTATTGTTACAGAGCTCCGGCTGTTGTTATCATAAGGTTGCGACTAGCCCGACCAAACTTCATATCTAATTCATTGTGCGTAACCTTTGCTTTTCACTTAACAAAAAATAAGATTAACGTAAATCATGTCTTTGGGTGTTTAAGATTTCCAAATAATGTGTCAAATGCTCGTGTTTATCCCGCGGGTTGGGTTTCCCCGGAATACGTGCCTGTCCCCCGCGCCGCTCCCCGCGCCACACAGGGGACATGAGCGACTCAATAGAATTATTGTCATGTGATAAACTAAGCATTAAACACAAGATAGCCCATCAAGGATAACTAATCTCGCATTATGGCCAGTTCTCGCCGAGATGACCTCATGGCCCCGAGATCAAGGGAGGTAATCCTGATGGGCAATACGCTGTAGTTTTGTGGGTGGCCGTAACTTTTCTGACGATGTGTCTTTGAGCATGGAGAAATGGACGTATTAAATTCATCACATGAGCACCATCTTTTTTACCAATCTCTCCTGGTCTTAGTTCTGATTGACAAACAACAAAGAAGAAGAAGAGAACAATTGGGGAACAACACCCAGCAGGCAGAGAGTACCATGGGATTTTTGTTTGTGTCATTATTTGTTGTTGTTGTTGTTGTTGGTTTATGTTGTTTGTTTTGTTTGGGTATTTTGGGGGGAGAGGAGAGGGGGTCGGTCGCGGGGGTGGGGTTGGTTTAAGATCAGCACTGCAAGGTATGTGTAATTGGGGCTTTTCAGTAAAACAGGGGCTTGATTATTTGTTTTAGAAACAAATCCCGGCCTCCTGAAAATCCAATGGATGTCACTTAGTGGAGGAAAGCACGAGGGGCGAGCTGCTTCCTCCATGACTGCAGTTCTCAGTTGAGTGATTTAGAAATAGGTACACGAGGGAATATTACATAAACTTGTGTTCGTGTGGCACTGATTTTAGTTTCGGTATTTCTGTATTTCCAGAGCGTGAATGTAGCGGGCTATATTTTAAAACCCCAGAATGCACGTGAGGATGCAGTAAGCTCTATATTGCCCAGGCTTGAATCAGACGCAGTCAGGACGTTGCGTCGACACGCATTATAAAAATAGTGTGATATCAAGGACAATGCGCGACATCACGTCAATGTGACGTCATCAGACTAAAGCGAGACTAAATTTCAAACGTAAGAAGAAATATCATGACAGGTGATCACTGCTGCACGGGCTTCCCCGAGTCGGCACAAGATCGGAGAGGGAGCCAGGAGAGACTTGACCGGCTCAGTGATAGGGAACAAAACATTCAAGACAATAGTCAATGTCACTATGATCTGTTTCCAAAATGGCTGATATACAAATCATTGGGTTGTTATATTTAAATGTGAATCGGTTTTATCGTCCTCGGCGTCCTCGCGTTTCCTTGGCGAGTACGTTAATCCTTTGTGAAACTCCTGACTGGGGATTGTCTGTTTCAGGATTTATCCAAAGTCGGTGTTTTTTGTAAACTTGGATACAATACCTCATGACATAAAAATACAAATGCTGGATCTCGATTGTAAAGGTGAAGAGTTGTAAACATACACACGGAGTTTTCGTTGGATGGCCAGGATATATATGTTATAAACCTGCCTAATATACAAACGTGTGTTCAAGTTTATATGAATGTCAATGTTTGCTAATTGACAGGCCCACTTTTCCTAAAGTACGAACACAATGACTAATAATAAACAATTACATGAACACTTGTTTACTTAAGAACTGATTTCCATTTCATCTTTGTGTCCTTTTTAAACATGAGGTATATGTCACTGCCATGACCTCCAGTTTAATATTACAACGCAGAAAGCTATTGCTCAATGGGTAAAACAGTTTGTACCTGTAGATGTCATCAAGTTTTGTGCAGCGTCTCTCATAACTTTATATCGGTGGCGATGTATTATCTTTTTGCATAAACGTCTATTCTATGCATGTTTTTTATGATGTTTAGCGGTGAGACGAAAATAAAATATCTGTCTGTCTGTGTTTTTGGAGGCATATGCGTAATGACCGATGTACACGCCGGCTCCTCGCGATTGTTGCTGATGTTTGCAAAACGTGCACTCCGGTTGTTATGTTTATTACACCATAAACGCAAACATGCATCGAAGTCAATTCTTATAAAGAAATAAGTCAACAATAATAACTTCACTGACTGCTAATGTAATAACTAAAACACACAAAAAACAACGTTAGGAATGACTACGAAATCAGTGCCATTGTTCAGCGCGCTGATGCAACACAAGCCTCGCCCTTCCTGTTCTCAGCCAATCAGGAAACAGTAGTCCGTAAATGGGAGTGGTCTACTAATGGAAACATAAACGTAAAATGAATCGCTAGGTCTGCCAATTAAATGCCATGGTGTCCTTGCAATTTATTTATAAACACTTATGATCGAGTAATTATCTAGCTCTCAAATCTTTACAGTGAGGCGGCCTCTTCCTCTGATACCAAATCCATCATCATTCTGAAAAAGAAATATTGGTGAATATAGACTGTGGTATATCTGTTACCATGTTGAATACAAACATTCGTGGTGTATCTTTTACCATGTTGAATACAAACATTCGTGGTGTATCTTTTACCATGTTGAATACAAACATTCGTGGTGTATCTTTTACCATGTTGAATACAAACATTCGTGGTGTATCTTTTACCATGTTGAATGTAGATATTCGTGGTGTATCTTTTACCATGTTGAATGTAGATATTCGTGGTGTATCTTTTACCATGTTGAATGTAGATATTCGTGGTGTATCTTTTACCATGTTTAATTCGTGGTATGTCTGTTACCATGTTGAATGTAGATATTCGTGATGTATCGATATCTTTTACCATGTTGAATTCGTGGTATGTCTGTTACCATGTTGAACGTAGATATTCGTGGTATGTCTGTTATATCAAGAATACAAGCCAGTGTGATATAGCTTAATTTCATTTATTATTACTGAATATATCAAACATGTGATTCGTTCCTCGTGATAATGATTGATTGTATTGAGTCGGCATTGGCAGTAATGGCCCCTACACAAAACACACGGGCCATTAACCGCCGAGCCACGCGGAGCGGGAAAATATAACCCATTTATAACGGCTATAGAAAACAGAGTCACCAATTTTGAAACTGTCGACGAGATCTTGAGGGAAATGTTTAATGTCTATAAAAATGTTTAATTCGAAAGACATCTCGGTATTCCTGACGCCTCGATGTGTTAAACTGTAATGTGTGGTACATGAAAGCTCCTCGCCCAGGCCCGCTGTGAGGAGCATATGGCCTCGCTCATTGTCCACCAATACCAATCTCCTTACACTGTCTTTACGGCCTCGTGACCAGATGTATCTCATCCGAAACAAAAGCAATCGCTCTGCTCCGACCTTTCTGCGGAGTCCACACTCCGGGGCATCAAAACATATATTTATGGCCTTTTTTGAGTTATTGGCAATTTTTTTTAGTTTGCGTCCAAAACCCGCAGGTTGGGTAAGGGCTCACGGTGGGTCGCGATACAGGGTAGGATTAGTGTTTTCGTGCGAAGAACTAGGCTACGTGACAGATTGACAACCTTACAACATTGCTGCAGATTCCCGTGTCATGTATCATTGCCACAGATTCCCATTCTTATATCATTGCCACAGATTCCCATTCTTATATCATGCCACAGATTCCCATTCTTATATCATTGCCACAGATTCCCATTCTTATATCATTACCACAGATTCCCATTCTTATATCATTGCCACAGATTCCCATTCTTATATCATTGCCACAGATTCCCATTCTTATATCATTGCCACAGATTCCCATTCTTATATCATTACCACAGATTCCCATTCTTATATCATTGCCACAGATTCCATTCTTATATCATTACCACAGATTGACATTCTTATATCATTGCCACAGATTCCCATTCTTATATCATTACCACCGAATTCCATTCTTATATCATTGCCACAGATTCCCATTCTTATATCATTGCCACAGATTCCCATTCTTATATCATTACCACAGATTCCCATTCTTATATCATTGCCACAGATTCCAATTCTTATATCATTACCACAGATTCCCATTCTTATATCATTACCACAGATTCCCATTCTTATATCATAACCACAGATTCCCATTCTTATATCATTACCACAGATTGCCATTCTTATATCATTGCCACAGATTCCCATTCTTATATCATTGCCACAGATTGCCATTCTTATATCATTACCACAGATTCCCATTCTTATATCATTACCACAGATTCCCATTCTTATATCATAACCACAGATTCCCATTCTTATATCATTGCCACAGATTGACATGCTTATATCATTACCACAGATTGACATTCTTATATCATTACCACAGATTGACATTCTTATATCATTACCACAGATTGACATTCTTATATCATTACCACAGATTGACATTCTTATATCATTACCACAGATTGACATTCTTATATCATTACCACAGATTGCCATTCTTATATCATTACCACAGATTGACATTCTTATATCATTACCACAGATTCCCATTTTTATATCATTACCACAGATTGACATTCTTATATCATTACCACAGATTGCCATTCTTATATCATTACCACAGATTGACATGCTTATATCATTACCACAGATTCTCATTCTTATATCATTGCCACAGATTGACATGCTTATATCATTGCCACAGATTGCCATTCTTATATCATTACCGCAGATTGACATGCTTATATCATTACCACAGATTGCCATTCTTATATCATTACCACAGATTGCCATTCTTATATCATTACCACAGATTCCCATTCTTATATCATTACCAAAGATTCCAATTCTTATATCATTACCACAGATTGCCGTTCTTATATCATTACCACAGATTCCCATTCTTATATCATTACCACAGATTCCCATTCTTATATCATTGCCACAGATTCCCATTCTTATATCATTGCCACAGATTCTCATTCTTATATCATTACCACAGATTGACATGCTTATATCATTGCCACAGATTCCCATTCTTATATCATTGCCACAGATTGCCATTCTTATATCATTACCACAGATTCCCATTCTTATATCATTACCACAGATTGACATGCTTATATCATTGCCACAGATTCCCATTCTTATATCATTGCCACAGATTCCCATTCTTATATCATTACCACAGATTCCCATTCTTATATTATTGCCACAGATTGCCATTCTTATATCATTGCCACAGATTGCCATTCTTATATCATTACCACAAATTCCCATTCTTATATCATTGCCACAGATTGACATTCTTATATCATTACCACAGATTGCCATTCTTATATCATTACCACAGATTCCTATTCTTATATCATTGCCACAGATTGACATTCCTATATCATAACCACAGATTCCCATTCTTATATCATTACCACAGATTGCCATTCATATATCATTACCACAGATTGCCATTCTTATATCATAACCACAGATTCCCATTCTTATATCATTGCCACAGATTGCCACTCTTATATCATTGCCACAGATTCCGATTCTTATATCATTACCACAGATTGCCATTCTTATATCATTACCACAGATTCCCATTCTTATATCATTGCCACAGATTGACATTCTTATATCATTGCCACAGACTGCCATTCTTATATCATTGCCACAGATTCCCATTCTTATATCATTGCCACAGATTGCCATTCTTATATCATTACCACAGATTCCCATTCTTATATCATTGCCACAGATTCCCATTCTTATATCATTGCCACAGATTGACATTCTTATATCATTGCCACAGATTGACATTCTTATATCATTACCGCAGATTGACATGCTTATATCATTGCCACAGATTCCTATGCTCATATCATTACCACAGATTCCCATTCTTATATCATTCCCACAGATTCCTATGCTTATATCATTACCACAGATTGACATTCTTCTATCATTTCAACAGACTACCATGCATATATCATTGCCACAGACTGACATGCTTATATCATTTCCACAGACTACCATGCATATTTCATTGCCACAGATTGACATTCTTATATAATTGCCACAGATTACCATGATTCTATCATTGCCACAGATTTACATGCTTATATCATTTCCACAGACTACCATGCATATATCATTGCCACAGATTGACATGCTTATATCATTGCCACAGACTACCATGATTCTGTCATTGCTGCAGATTGACATGCTTATATCATTGCCACAGACTACCATGCATGTATCATTGCCACAGATTGACATGCTTATATCATTGCCACAAAATTACCATGATTCTGTCATTGCTGCAGATTGACATGCTTATATCATTGCCACAGACTACCATACATATATCATTGCCACAGATGGACATGCTTATATCATTGCCACAGACTACCATGCATATATCATTGCCACAGATTGACATGCTTATATCATTGCCACAGACTACCATACATATATCATTGCCACAGATTGACATGCTTATATCATTGCCACAGGCTGACATGCTTATATCATTGCTGCAGATTGACATGCTTATATCATTGCCACAGATTACCATGATTCTATCATTGCCACAGATTGCCATGCTTATATCATTGCGACAGACTACCAAACATATACCATTGCCACAGATTGACATGCTTATATCATTGCCACAGATTGACATGCTTATATCATTGCCACAGATTACCATGATTCTATCATTGCTGCAGATTGACATGCTTATATCATTGCCACAGACTACCATGCATATATCATTGCCACAGATTGACATGCTTATATCATTGCCACAGACTACCATGATTCTATCATTGCTGCAGATTGACATGCTTATATCATTGCCACAGACTACCATGCATATATCATTGCGACAGATTGACATGCTTATATCATTGCCACAGACTACCATGATTCTATCATTGCTGAAAAAATTGACATGCTTATATCATTGCCACAGACTACCATGCATATATCATTGCCACAGATTGACATGCTTATATCATTGCCACAGACTACCATGCTATATCATTGCCACAGATTGACATGCTCATATCATTGCCGCAGATTGCCATAGATATATCATTGCCACAGATTGGCATGCTTATATCATTGCCACAGACTACCATGCATATATCATTGCCACAGATTGACATGCTTATATCATTGCCACAGACTACCATGATTCTATCATTGCTGCAGATTGACATGCCTATATCATTGCCACAGACTACCATACATATATCATTGCCACAGATTGACATGCTTATATCATTGCCACAGACTACCATGCATATATCATTGCTGCAGATTGACATGCTCATATCATTGCCACAGATTACCATGCATATATCATTGCCACAGATTGGCATGCTTATATCATTGCTGCAGATTGACATGCTTATATCAGTGCCACAGATTGACATGCTTATATCAGTGCCACAGATTACCATGATTCTATCATTGCTGCAGATTGACATGCCTATATCATTGCCACAGACTACCATACATATATCATTGCCACAGATTGACATGCTTATATCATTGCCACAGATTACCATGATTCTATCATTGCTGCAGATTGACATGCTTATATCAGTGCCACAGATTACCATGCATATATCATTGCCACAGACTGACATGCTTATATCATTGCTGCAGATTGACATGCTTATATCAGTGCCACAGATAACGATGCTAATATCATTGCTGCAGATTACCATGATTCTATCATTGCTGCAGACTGACATGCATATATCATTGCCACAGATTGACATGCTTATATCATTGCTGCAGATTACCCTGCTTATATCATTGCCACAGATTGACATGCTTATATCATTGCCACAGACTACCATGCTTATATCATTGCCACAGACTACCATACATATACCATTGCCACAGATTGACATGCTTATATCATTGCCACAGACTACCATGCATATATCATTGCCACAGATTGACATGCTTATATCATTGCCACAGACTACCATGCATATATCATTGCCACAGATTGACATGCTTATATCATTGCCACAGACTACCATGTATATATCATTGCCACAGACTGACATGCTTAAATCATTGCTGCAGATTGACATGCTTATATCATTGCCACAGACTGACATGCATATATCATTGCCACAGACTGACATGCTTATATCATTGCCGCAGATTGCCAGGCCTATATCATTGCCACAGATTTACATGCTTATATCATTGCCACAGACTACCATGCATATATCATTGCCACAGATTGACATGCTTATATCATTGCTGCAGATTGCCAGGCCTATATCATTGCTGCAGATTGACATGCTTATATCAGTGCCACAGATAACGATGCTAATATCATTGCTGCAGATTACCATGATTCTATCATTGCCACAGACTACCATGCATATATCATTGCCACAGACTGACATGCTTATATCATTGCTGCAGATTGCCAGGCCTATATCATTGCTGCAGATTGACATGCTTATATCAGTGCCACAGATAACGATGCTAATATCATTGCTGCAGATTACCATGATTCTATCATTGCCACAGACTACCATGCTTATATCATTGCCGCAGACTACCATACATATATCATTGCCGCAGATTGCCAGGCCTATATCATTGCTGCGGATTGACATGCTTATATCAGTGCCACAGATAACGATGCTAATATCATTGCCGCAGATTGACAGGCTGACATCATTGCCACAGACTGCCATGCTTACATCATTGCAACAGATTGACATGTTTATATCATTGCCGCAGATTGCCATTCTTATATCATTACCGCAGATTGACATGTTTATATCATTACCGCAGATTACCTTGCTTACATCATTGCCATAGATTACCTTGCTTATATCATTGCGATACACTACCATGCTTATATCATTGCCATAGATTACCTTGCTTATATCATTGCCATAGATTACCTTGCTTATATCATTGCCATAGATTACCTTGCTTATATCATTGCCATAGATTACCTTGCTTATATCATTGCGATAGATTACCTTGCTTATATCATTGCGATAGATTACCTTGCTTATATCATTGCCATAGATTACCTTGCTTATATCATTGCCATAGATTACCTTGCTTATATCATTGCGATACACTACCATGCTTATATCATTGCCATAGATTACCTTGCTTATATCTTTGCCATAGATTGACATGCTTATATCATTGCCATAGATTACCTTGCTTATATCATTGCCATAGATTACCTTGTGTATATCATTGCCATAGATTACCTTGCTTATATCATTGCGATACACTACCATGCTTATATCATTGCCATAGATTACCTTGCTTATATCATTGCCATAGATTACCTTGCTTATATCATTGCGATACACTACCATGCTTATATCATTGCCATAGATTACCTTGCTTATATCTTTGCCATAGATTGACATGCTTATATCATTGCGATACACTACCATGCTTATATCATTGCCATAGATTACCTTGCTCATATCATTGCCATAGATTACCTTGCTTATATCATTGCCACAGATTACCTTGCTTATATCATTGCCATAGATTACCTTGCTTATATCATTGCGATAGATTACCTTGCTTATATCATTGCGATAGATTACCTTGCTTATATCATTGCCATAGATTACCTTGCTTATATCATTGCCATAGATTACCTTGCTTATATCATTGCCATAGATTACCTTGCTTATATCATTGCGATAGATTGACATGCTTATATCATTGCCATAGATTGACATGCTTATATCATTGCCATAGATTACCTTGCTTATATCATTGCGATACACTACCATGCTTATATCATTGCCATAGATTACCTTGCTTATATCATTGCCATAGATTACCTTGCTTATATCATTGCCATAGATTACCTTGCTTATATCATTGCGATAGATTGACATGCTTATATCATTGCCACAGATTGACATGCTTATATCATTGTCATAGATTACCTTGCTTATATCATTGCGATAGATTACCTTGCTTATATCATTGCCATAGATTACCTTGCTTATATCATTGCGATACACTACCATGCTTATATCATTGCCATAGATTGACATGCTTATATCATTGCCATAGATTGACATGCTTATATCATTGCCATAGATTGACATGCTTATATCATTGCCATAGATTGACATGCTTATATCATTGGGATACCATACCATGCTTATATCATTGCCATAGATTGACATGCTTATATCATTGCCATAGATTGACATGCTTATATCATTGCCATAGATTGACATGCTTATATCATTGCGATAGATTGACATGCTTTTAGCTTTGCCATAGATTGACATGCTTATATCATTGCGATACACTACCATGCTTATATCATTGCCATAGATTACCTTGCTTATATCATTGCCGCAGATTGCTGCGGGAAAAAGAAACAAAGCAGCTCTACAATCCCAAGCCATGTTTTACTGTTACTGATATTTCCTCCTGAACACAGCTCGGTGGGATGGCATTAATAATGTGCATATTTGATAGCAAATTGTATCGCTTGTTTAGAATCAGGTGAGATAGAACTAGACCCTGCGCCGCGCAATACAATGGTCGAAATAGAAGACTACGTTGTACACTAACGCACTCACAAGGACGGGGATTGATTAAGGAATAAAATACTTCTCTTGATGGGTGGGAGTATAGACGGCGTCCGGGCATACGAGACCGGAGCCTGACGGCAGGGCGCGACACTGCCACAAAGAGACACGTTTCCGTCAAGAGAGACCGTTTTCTGGCATATGGTATCACAGGTAAAGGCTTTGTCAATTTAATGACGATCGCCGATGCGATGTCGTAATGGCGTAATGATTAATAACGACAATGTTTACACGACGTCGCTCGGTAATTGTTTTCTTGAATTATGTTCTAATCAAATGTCAATGAATTATTGATACATTGCTGGCGAGATTGGGCATCGGAAACACTGAAACAGATGCGAATAGTAATTGTGTTTCCCATTAAAGGAAAGGCAGGGAATGAAATTCTGTCTATTGCTTTTGGGTAATCGCCGAGAGGAGTTTTGAAGTCTATGTGCACCTTTTGACCTGCGATAATTTCCATACCGATTTCCAATTTACCTGTAATTGTACACTTGACCTATGACACAAGACACAGTACCTTCCAGTACCTCACAGTACCTCCATGCATACCGTATACCGTGTCCCTAAATACTAGTAATCCACACCCGTATGTTTTTCATCTGTTCGCGCATAATTGTAACCCAGTTTGTTTGTTTGTTTGTTTGATTGTTTGACGCCGCACTCAGCTATATTCCTTCTATATGACGACAGTCTGTAAATAATCGAGTCTGGACCAGACTGCAGTGACCGACATCATGAGCATCGATCTCTCTCCTGTTAATCGCCTCTTACGACAAGCATAGTCGCAACTTAAGACAAGCATGGGTTGCTGAAGACCTATTTCGGCCCGGATTTGAATGTTTATGTATCGGGTATTTACAATCAGTACCCTGTGTCTAACATTGTATCGTGTGCTGTACCGGTGGGCACCCCGTAGTGAAGCATCTGACATTACTCTTCGTACTAAGATGCCATTAACTTTTGTGTAATATGCAAAAATAAAGAATTATCATATAAAGCACAAAGTGCTGGCAACGCTACAATTATTTAAAACTAATAAAATCTGGGCGGTTGTCGTTGCGCTAAGATCGCCTTGAGCACGTGTTTGAGGCAGTTTCACGTGTAATGTGACGTCACTAGTGTATGGCGATACCAATAAATAGACGCGATTGTTTTTGTCGTTAAGTTTATAGATTTCTAAGTATCACTGAGCAGACGACATATTTCTTTTCAGATATATCCAAACCCAACAAAAGGTGACATGTTCCCTGTGTAATCAAGCGTTCTCAGAATGAACTAAGTAACAGCGAAGCTAATTCTTCTTGAAACCCCTCCTATTACTTAACAGCGTAGTAACTATGATCCGACAACACGCAATGGGACAAATGAAGTGAACAGCCTGCATCTGCAACACATCGGTGAGAACATCCAGGCATCACACCGCGTCACTCTTCACGGAGACACAATACTTGAAGGAATACTTTAATTACTCACTTAAATTATTGTTGCTATTTGGTATTTCGTTTTATTAAAAAACTCAGTGAGCAATAAAAGCATTCATTTAGAGTCACGTGACGGAAACAATGCGCCCTCGGTGCGCCTTTGTCCGCCATCCCTTGTCAGTCACAGCAAGCACACACACACAGAAGTCCAAATTGTTTTCTTATGAAAAATTAAGAGTTTAAGATAATTTTTTCGATAGTTAAATCCATTATATGTAACTAACAAATGCAATCTTGGGAATTGAAACATACTTTCTCCGTTGTATTTACACTTAAAGTTATGACAATCTACTTTAGTTGCCGATAATGTGGACATTTAGAGGAACTTAACCTGGCCCGGTGGGAGCGATCCCCATACACGAGCCACCCCGCGTGTATTATTGACAGGGGTACTGGGGCGTGGGGGTAATTTGTTAATTACCGTGTGTCTAGGTGCATGTAGCAATACAGGCACAACACAGCCTACATGTTGTGCACACAGACATCTGTCTTGTGTCGGCTCTGTCAAACGAGAACGCCGCTTTTGTTATGACGTTGAATCTATCAGACCTGTGCCTTTCTGATGTTTCGACTCTACCAAACGTGTACCTTTCTAATCAATTTCTATCAAAAAGATATCTTTCTGTCGGCTCTATCTAACTAAAGCCCCTATGTTGAGTCAGCTCTATCTAACTAAAGCCCCTATGTTGTGTCGGCTCTCTCTATCTAACGAGAAGCCCCTGTGTTGTGTCGGCTCTCTCTAACGAGAAGCCCCTATGTTATGTCGGCTCTCTCTAACGAGAAGCCCCTATGTTGTGTCGGCTCTCTCTAACGAGAAGCCCCTATGTAGTGTCGGCTGTCTTTAACGAGAAGCCCCTATGTTGTGTCGGCTCTCTTTAACGAGAAGCCCCTATGTTGTGTCGGCTCTCTTTAACGAGAAGCCCCTATGTTGTGTCGGCTCTCTTTAACGAGAAGCCCCTATGTTGTGTCGGCTCTCTTTAACGAGAAGCCCCTATGTAGTGTCGGCTCTCTTTAACGAGAAGCCCCTATGTTGAGTCGGCTCTCTTTAACGAGAAGCCCCTGTGTTGTGTCGGCTCTCTTTAACGAGAAGCCCCTGTGTTGTGTCGGCTCTCTCTAACGAGAAGCGCCTGTGTTGTGTCGGCTCTCTCTAACGAGAAGCCCCTATGTTGTGTCGGCTCTCTCTAACGAGAAGCCCCTGTGTTGTGTCGGCTCTCTCTAACGAGAAGCCCCTGTGTTGTGTCAGCTCTCTCTAACGAGAAGCCCCTGTGCTGTGTCGGCTCTCTCTAACGAGAAGCGCCTGTGTTGTGTCAGCCCTCTCTAACGAGAAGCCCCTGTGTTGTGTCAGCTCTCTCTAACGAGAAGCCCCTGTGTTGTGTCGGCTCTCTCTAACGAGAAGCGCCTCTGTTGTGTCGGCTCTATCTAACGAGAAGCCCCTATGTTGTGTCGGCTCTCTCTAACGAGAAGCGCCTGTGTTGTGTCGGCTCTCTTTAACGTGAAGCCCCTGTGTTGTGTCGGCTCTCTTTAACGAGAAGCGCCTGTGTTGTGTCGGTTCTATCTAACTTACGCCCTATGTTGTGTCGGCTCTCTCTAGCTAGAGTCCCTATGTTGAGTCGGCTCTATCTAGGTAGGGCCCTCTGTTGTGTCGGCTCTATCTAACTAGAGCCCCTATGTTGAGTCGGCTCTATCTAGGGAGGGCCCTCTGCTGTGTCGGCTCTATCTAACTTGAGCCCCTATGTTGAGTCAGCTCTATCTAGGTAGGGCCCTCTGCTGTGTCGGCTCTATCTAACTACAGCCCCTATGTTGAGTCGGCTCTATCTAGGGAGGGCCCTCTGCTGTGTCAGCTCTATCTAACTAGAGCCCCTATGTTGAGTCAGCTCTATCTAGGTAGGGCCCTCTGTTGTGTCGGCTCTGTCTAACTACAGCCCATATGTTGTGTCGGCTCTATCTAGGTAGGGCCCTCTGTTGTGTCGGCTCTATCTAACTAGAGATCCTCTCTTGTGTCGGCTTTCTCTAACAAGAAGCGTTGTGCGTGTCGGTAGCAGTCACGTACACACCAAGAATCACGATGTAAACCACAGCAAATAGCTATAATCTCCCTTAATGTATACATCTTTCATCGAATGTGCAGCCATTTGGTAGCAGTTCGATATCGTTTCGGCTCAATAGACCACATGTCAAGTCTTTTTCTCGCAAAGTCACGTCTTACAAACACGATAATTGAAATGGGCATCGCGAGACTGTTTTGCTGCGGGATGACATCTCGCTATTTGCTGCGGCGCAGTGTCAGTTTTCGGCACACACGCTTTCAATGGCGGCCCGTCGTGGTGTTGACTCTACAAGCACACGGCAAATCAGTCAAGACTGTTTCTTTCTCAACTTCTCTCACAGATAAACAAAGTCGATTACCTCTTTTCATGACGCTTTTTCTTTCAGTGGCCTCTTGTCTGGGGCAAAATAGGAAATAATTACCGGCCAGCGATATCTTAAGCCACGACATCGGAGCAAGTGCGTGTTCCCGCAAACGATATGATGTGAAGCAATTTACTGAGTATTATTTTAGAATACATGGAAATGTAGAGTCAAATTTCATCAAAGGAAATTAACTGCGCTCCAGTCGGATGAGACTTAGGCATAATCTGCGACCGCCTGTCTATTGAGGGGAGGTAACGCTGCCGTGTTTTTCACGCATCTTGACTGCTGATGCAGACGCATTGTGATCGAAATAATTAGAAGAATACAGCAATGCCTTCAGTTTTATTTCATCGTCAAAAGCGAATTTTTACTCCAAAAGTTATTGCAATTATTAGACAGCGCTGAAAAGAGATCTCCGTCAATGATGGTCGCTCACGCAGCCTGGTAACATGGCCACTGTGTTATGATGGGTGTGACGCATTCTAATAACCAGCAACATCCTAGTCTTACATTCTGCTGACAACATAGTCACAATCACCAACACCAACACCCTACCTACATACACACCATCAACGTCAAGACCATTACCGTCAACACCACAACACCGTCAACACCAACAGCACCGTCTGCACCAACAACACCGACAACACCGTTGCACAGTCACCATCTCAATGCCAATCACCAACAACGCCGTCAACATCTACAACACCGTCACGGTCAACACCATCACAGAGAACACATTCACCGTCAACATCTACAACACCGTCACGGTCAACACCATCACAGAGAACACATTCACCGTCAACATCTACAACACCGTCACGGTCAACACCATCACAGAGAACACATTCACCGTCAACACCGTCAACACCGACAACACCGTCAACACCGTCAACACCAAACACACCGACAACACCGTCAACACCAAACACACCGACAACAGGGTCAGTATCGTCAACACTGTGACACAGTTAACATGTCAACACCGTCACATCAACACCAACAACGCCAAAACACCATTCACACCATCGCCGACAACACATTCACCATCAACACCGACAACATCGTCAACACCATGACACAGTCACCAACAACACCGATTTCGAGGCTGGATAGATGTGGAGGATGTATCATACAGTAGATGAAGAAGTAAACATGTATGGATGAGTTCATGGATGGATGTCTATTGACAATCAAGTGACCTTGGG